TGATTTGAAGTGACAGACTTGAACAGCAGTTCCATGTTGCCTGTAGTCCTGAGTTGTGAACAAGGTGTCAATAAATCCAAACACCCAATCCAGAACCCATCTTAAAAGTCATGCACAAAACCCCTATACATGACAATATATATATGATAATGCTGTCCATTGATTGAGGTTAGATCTTTCTAATGGGTCCGACTGTGTTAGAATGTTTCCTTCCTTATACCTGATGATGAAAACCTGTATATCTAATTTCCAGAATGTTGTTTCAGAAAATCAAAATGTTACAGATTGTGTGAAATGAAGTCATGTTTATTTCCAACAGAGTTATGTACTCTCTTGTAATTATGCTGAAAAACTTCACACTGGATACCTTTGGCATGATACAAAGCCAGTTCAGTTCATTTTGAATTTTTCTGGGTTATGACAGCATTGATGGGTGGTTACTGATGTTTTGGAGGAACATAATGCCTCCATCTTCAGGATACAAGTAATCCTGAACCGTATTCTTATGATAGAGGCAATATGTTCCTCAAAAACATTGGTAGCCACCTATCAGACTGTATTGTGTCAACCTGAAGGCCACAATGTAAATCTTCTCTGTCATGAAAACCTCAGCTCTAATGGACTTCATTCCACTTCAAAATCTGTTACTCTGTCTTTCAGAGATATTTCCTCACCAAGTTATTCATGCATTTCTTGTTTTTCCCATTTAGGTTGCAAGTACAAGTCAGCAAAACTTCCTTCATTTGATTCTGTCACTAAGCTGTGAAACCATTTTCTATGAGCCTAATACTTGATGCAGAGAGCTTTCATGTGGCATTGAATGGCACAGTCCATTCTTAATCCTTTTCAGCAATGACAGTAACTTTCCGATTGAGCAGCCTGTTACCATTAGACACACACACATACACAAAAGGGGGAGAAAAAAGAAGAAGAAGAGAGCAGAAATGTTACTTTTACATTTGGGAAAGCCAACTGAGGATCTTCTCTCCTCTATCTGAATAATTTTGCTTGACGTAAGCATAGAAAGTCTTTCATTTCACCGGCAGGGTTGAAATGAATATCAGTGGGAAAGTTTTTCAGCAGAAAGAGTACACCATCACATAAATGCTCTTCTGAGGCTTCTAAATCAACCAGAAACATACATCTTTTTGCATAATTTTGGTACATGATTGAACTTTCCTTCAAGTTGATTTGAATGCATTCATTTTTGGAATAAAGGATTTTACTTGGAATTTGACTTTTGGGGAAATACTTTCATCAGCACTGTGTGCATCACAATCACTGACTTGCTTTGCTTTCCATACTTCTTTTGACACACTTGTATAGGCTATATAAGGCAGACCCCAAATTCAGTTTCATTAAAACTTTCTCAGATATGAAGGGTTATAACACCTTTTAATTTAGAGAAAGCCTGATTTTTTGGAGCAACATTTTGCCTCCATCTTCAGGATCAAAGGATAAGCCAAGCAAGAAACCAGCAGAAGCAGGCAGCAAAGAGTCACTGATGGGACTGGGAGGTCAAGGTTCAACATTGTGGTGGTGGGTTTTATATGAAAGGTTATTTAAATGGAAGCAGTTTCAATCTTAATTAATCTTCATGGTTATTTCCTAACATATTTAGAGGCCCTAAGCCATGTGTGTTAAGTCCAACACTGGGTGCAGATATTGCCAACAGTCCACCTCAAAAGGTTCATGCTGCTGGAACTGTGGATTCTCAAAGCCTGGTGATCTACTTTGCAAAATATGATAGTGAAAATCTGGGAGCATTACTGGCATCTCTAACAAGATGGATGGTAGTTAGGACAGTTTCCTGTGGCATCAGTGTGACAAAGACAACTGCCAAGAGGACACAACTCATGGTGAAGAAGACTGAATTTGGAAATAATGTACTTTGATCAAAAATAGTTAATTATAATGTCATTGCCATTATTGTCACTCAAGCAATTATTGTTGCATTCATGTGATTAGTTTTACAGAAAATGTTCTACAAACGAATTAACAACAGCTGAACATCAATTCCTGGTAAGTTCATTCTAAATTTTCCATTATCATCAATGGTCTGTCAGGGATTTTACAACATACAGTACTGGTATCATACAGCCGGTCATCTATAGAATAATGTTTTTTTTTTTCAGATGGTCTAGTTTAAGTAAAAACCAATTAATTTAGCTGCATTTTTTAAAGTTTGTAGAAGTTCACTTACAACTTGTGAATCCAATAACACAGGCTCTTGCTTTAATCCATTCGTTTGTTTTATTTGGCATTCATAATTGCTAAAACAGTAACACTTGAACAAGTAAAATCCTTTTGCCCAAATGCCTAAAGAATTAGAATTTTTCAACAATAAATAATCACTCTTGACATGGTTAACCTATAATTAAAATATAACATGCTATCAAACCAGATAATTACTCAAATTAGATACAATACGTAAATAGAAATATGAATGGCTGTGAACTGACATACAAAAGGCGGCCTGTCGTGTTCTCCCATACATAGGTGGTTTTGTGTCACTCTGATCCTGAGTGCCTCACTTTGAACCAGAGATACAGCATGGATGTTAGAACTGGTTCATTTGCCAAAGCCAGTAATGGCATACTGTCTAGATACAATGGGCACTGTTCATACATAACATGCACAGGGATAAGGAAGCATGAGATTCCTATTACTGAATGAAACTGAAATTGTGCAACCCATGATGGAACAGACACCAAAAAAAAAAGTATCAAACTGATCATGTTGGCTTAAGCTGTAAAAATACCTAGTTTGAATAACATTCAGACACCCAGTTTTCCTGACAGAGGCTTTTGTGGTTTTCCTTGGTCTTGTGGGATTTTTGTTTTGTCGTTACTTCAATGACAACCCACTTCTTTGGAACAGTTTGTAGGTCCTGAAAAGGACCGTTGACTGCTGGGATGTTTGGCCAGTGAAGTAGCGCGGCACGCGCCGGTAGAAAGGGGATGTTGGTTGCGGTGTGTTGAGGCGGCTGAGTCAGTTGACTGGCTGCAGTGCGGCCGTTGCTGGAAAAGGTTTGCTTGCCGAGCGCGGTCGCAAGAGTGGAGAGGCGGTAGCTACGCCAGTTGCCCAGTGTGTCGGGCATGACCACCGGCGAATCGAGGAGGCCGAGTTGCCCAGTGAGTCGGGTGTGACCGCCAAGGCAGTCATGCCTGGCGCAGCGAAGTGCCAATGCCTCCGAAGACCAAGCGCTGGCGACGAAACGTGCTGTTTGTAGACTGCTTGAAGACTGCTGACTTGCAAGCTTCTGCTCCGCCTTTTATACAATGCTCGGTGGGGGGGGAGCGAAAATTGCATTTGAGGAGCAACAATTTGCAGAGCGCTGATTGGCTAGCGGAAATTTGCAGTGCGTGCTGGTATAATTATGAATGAAACGTCCGGCAATGCAGAAGTCATACAAAATCATGAGAATGAGAATGTTCGCAACATCAGACAAGGCGAAGCCCGCCACAGAAAGTATAAGAGGCTTAAACTTGGCGGCGGTCAGATATACGACCGTTCAAGTGACTAGACTGCCATGGTAGTGAATAATACTGGAAATAGTGCGTAATCTGCTGTACTGAGCCTGGACTGACATGGGCCTTGTATATATTGTACATAAAAGAAATAAGTGTGTATGTAAAATTATGTAAATACAGACAGTGGACATATTAATACAGACTGACTGACAAATGACAAACCCGACCTCTCGCCAGAGAGGGCGCCCCACACAGACAAGACAGTAACTTTCATTCAAAAGAAATATCTGGTCATGAGCTCCAGCTGGGGCTCGACACCAAGACAGACAGACTGACTGACCGTCAGTTGTAACATGACTTTGACTTTGACTTGCAATGCGATATTCACTAAGGAGTGAGTGTTAAGAAAGCAGTCTTCTGGGATTTGGCACCGTGTATATGTGGTGTTAACACCACATATACACGGTGCCAAATCCCAGAAGACTGCTTTCTTCATAGTCACCGCCGTGAAAGCCTCAAATCTTACATACGGAGTGAGTGTTGTCTAAAAGACTGGTGGAAATAGTGTGCTATGTGGGATGTCCCCACAGTCTCTTCAGGCAAAAGCAATGTTAGTATCTTAAAAGAGACCAAAGCCACTTCGTCCCCAATCATTTCAAGTTCACTGATGTGATTGCAGAAAATAAACTTGGTCAACGCTAATTATTTGTACAAATCAACCATGATCAAAAGTCCACTATCGAACGATGTCTCTGTGAAAGTTGAGAAATATCTCTCAAAAACTAAATAATCTGTCTGCTAAACAGTAGAGTCCAACAGAATGTTTAGAAGGAACGAGTTTCCTGTCTTGCGACATGGAGCCAGAAGCGACAGCCACTGCCAGGGATCGTTTCAGTAGACACGCTTCTGTGGAAATAGATACACGACAACAGAATTGTTTAAGGCGGTGTTTTCTTTGCGTTCCCGTGCCTAATAGTGAGTTGTGAGTCATAAGCGAGTGGTCGCCATGCGCGGCTAAAAGACAATGGCCAGGAGCTAAGAAACAGTCCCCAACCAGTGTGGACTGGAACTGTAAAAAAGGAAGCTGAGGGAAACCTTATATTATAAACATTTTACACTATTTAACAACATTAAGCGTTAAGTTCTACCTTCTCAATTTTCGGGATCTCACTTTAGGTGACTATTAATTTTCTTCATTACTATTCGGTGTTCCCCAAGTGACATTATGTTCTTACATGTTATTTGCAACGTCACTTGTTATCTTCGACTTTATCATTATGTATCAGTACATATTACTACAATACTTTTAACACAATATTATGGAACTTACGTTTGCAGGTTTAACTGACATTAATGTTGCATAATCTAACATTGATTTGATTCTTCCCGGTCTTCCTAACAACCACTACGACCACTACTATTCAATGCTTGCGTACAATTCACCACGGATCGCTCACAACATCAAAGTATAACTTGGCGGTTCACGTTTACATCTGTGGTGACGCCAAACGTAACCTCATGATTCGTGCATGTTTAAAATATGATGCAAGGCGAAGTGTCTGAAGGAGATGGTACGAAATTAGTGTGCTAGTTCATCCCTAAAAATGAGTTTGGTGTTGAACATGTACTTGCATTACTGAATTTATATGTTAATATACATAATTATGTTCTATTTATAGTGTCAGAAGTAATAAAAATAGCCATCCTCCCCAAACGGCAACGTTATCTTGTTTGGTGTTGGAAGCGCGTGTATTTGCAGGCCGGCAGAAGAGTTTAGAAATGGCAACTTCAAATAATCACGTTTTGAAGTTGTATAAAACAATGCTACGTGAATCTCAGAAGTTTTCCTCGTATAATTACAGGTTATTTTTAATGCTACTACTTTTAAATTGGATAGCAATTGTGAATTTCAAGAAAAACATAGTAGTGTGGTTATATTTACTAGCATACGGGACGGTTAAGGTTATAAATGAGGGCTTTGTCAAATGATGCAGACGTAATCAACTACAGCCCAGCACATGTTTTAATTTTGGACGTTTCAGTGACGTTTCTGTATTAGTATAGATTGTATAATTGTCTATTTGGAACTGGCAATGTATATACATATTTTTATATGGTTATTACGTATGTATGTATTTTCAGGCTGTATGCTTTAAGACGGATTCGAGACAGCTTTAGAGCTGGTAAATCTCTGGCCGACTCGACAAAAATTATGGAAGCAGTTCAAAATGCAGAAGAAAATTTAGAAATAATCAAACGTCAGGTTAGATACAAATCCATATTGTGAAATAATTTCTGTACTTCACTTGCAAGTAATTATGCAGAATATCTGCTGACTGTGCACTAGAAGTCAAAGTACAGCGTGCATTTGTTCGAGGTATGGTGCATGTCACTGTAATCCATCACAGTCAAGATTGACAAGTTGAAATTGAAAATACAGTACAGGAGACATGTTTGGTACTTCTTGTTGCAGAGAAAGCCATTTATAAATATGAAAGAAAGTACAAGTATAACTAAATGAAACTATTAAAACATGAGAGTAAGATGTAGGGATTTCTTTATAAAAAGGGGTGATTTAAGAAATGAACATGTAGACAATAAAGGAGCCAGGATAGTGTATTCAGTATAGTGAATAACTGGCTGGATGACTGAAGGGTCAGAGTTTGAGTCCCGGTAGGGTCAAGAATTTTCTGGGGTCCACCCAGCTTCCTATCCAATGGGTACCAGGAGCTCTTTCCCTGAGGGTAAAGCAGCAGGGACATGAAGCTGACCACTTGCCTTCAGCTAGTGCTGAGTTTAAGAAAATATTAATTTATACATCCACTCCCTCATATGCCATCATGGCATGCTTAATTAGTTAAGCATGGGGACTTTACCCTTACCTTTTACATGTAGACAGTAACATACTAATCCAGAAACAGCTCACAAGAACAGTCTCAAAAATTAAAGAAATGTTTAGAGAGAGTCCCTCTGTAATTGAAGGCAGTAACTGGCAATTTTATATGTAAGAAGTAATGGGGCTGAAGATATTGGTGAAGTTTTTGATGGGACGTTTAAAACATTCATGAGTGCATGTTTTAATGAACCTGAAGATGAATTGTATTTTCCATTGAAGTTTGAAGTCATATCTCACTTATTTTGCAATACTGTTGGGGTGACTAATGATATTGCACATACACTACAATCAATTGTAATACATCCCCTTGTTGATGAATACTCTTGAAATTTTCAGGCTGTACATATTGACAGAGTTTTTTTGAATTGCTTCATTTTTGGTCCGTTACACTATCAATCACAAAGTCAATAGAAAGTCCGTCGAGTGTAACAATGTTTTTAGGTCACTTCTTTATCACATTTGCCTTACATGTTTCGGTTTAATAAAACCATCATCAGAGGCACATATTACAAACACATGAAAACACTGGCGTTGTTTAAATGTACACAGTATATATGCTGCGTGGACGCTGCTACAAATGTCGATGTGTAAAAGCACAACACTTGCTAGGAATATTGAATGCACGTTCAACTCTCGCATTCCATCCAAAAATTGCCCTCAAATTAAACTGTCAATGTTAAAATACTTAAAAGTTTAAAACATTTGAAGTAAAATGTTAGGCTCCTCCTTGTTAATTCATCCCGATGATGGGAGATGTCAGCTTGAGGTTGTATAGGCTTATGGTCAGATGTTTCCTATGCGTTGTGTGTACACAACATATATATATATATATATATATATATAGCATATATACATATACAGCATATATACTGTGTACATTTAAACAACGCTAGTGTTTTCATGTGTTTGTAATATGTGCCTCTGATGATGGTTTTATTAAACCGAAACATGTAAGGCAGAAGTGATAAAGAAGTGACCTAAAAACATTGTTACACTCGACGGACTTTCTATTGACTTTGTGACGGAGTTTACTCTGATATACTTTATGATCTTAATTGAGACATGAATTCGGCAGGTTATATAAATAGTTGTCGGTCATATGCACATTACAGCTGTCCACATGGACTAACCTCTTGGTTTCAGTTTAGAACTTAAGGACAAAATTTTTACTAAACTTGTACATATGGTTATCAAGCTGCTTGGTTTGGAAGGAAAATATGTTCCAAATTAATTTTTGTATTGGTTTTTTCTTTGCATCCTGCTGTTTTTAACCTTAAATTAAGGAAACAACTGTAATTTATATTTTACATTTTAACACTTAACAAAAGGAATTTATTATGAAATGTTTTCTTGGAAAAATGGCTCCATTAATTTTGCAATTCACTAATGATATGTTTTATTTATATACAAACCACCTGATGAAGATCCATGTGATCGAAACGTGAGGTGAATAAGACAATAAAATGATTGAGGCATTGGAATATTTTTATTGATTTCAATAAATTTTATTCAAATTAATTAATTTTGTTGTTGTGTCAGTAGCCCCAGCACCTCGATGTTTGCCAAATGTTTAATAATGCACATTTCACAATAAGTATTAAATACACTTCGCATACCTACATCCATTTATTTTCATTACTTACACAGTAGAAACAATGCATACAAACAGAGGTGTGTGCTTCTTTGTGACATAACTCTGTACTAACTTGATGGAGCTGAGCCCGTCATGAGAAGCTGCCAGTCACTCATCCACCCGACATTTTATGGAACCTATAGGTTCATCATGGCTCAGTCAGTATAGTTTGCTTGCTGACTGAAGCCACGGAGTTTTTTTTATAGGTTCATTAGGGGGAACGCAGTAGTGTAGTTGGGTGAGACACCATTCTACAAACTGGAAGGTCGTGGGTTCGAGTCGTGATGAGGTGGATTTTTTTTTCAATTTATCTAATCCTTCCAGTCATACTATGGTCTTGGGATCAACTCAACCTCTAACAGAAATAAGTACCAGAAATCTTCCTGGGGGTTAAAGTTTGGCAGGTGTGTAAGGCTGTCAACTCTGCCATCTGTGAGCCGATTGTCTAGAGAAATGTGGGAGCCTTCACGTCTTAGAGCCCTATGGGCCCTCATGTCCTGTTACAGGAACAGCTTTGCTCTTACCATTTTACCTTTTTATAGGTTCATTACTGTGTTCACAAGAGCCCTCAACTGGCCCCTATCCTGAGCCAGATCAATCCATTTCATTCCATCCCATCCTATGTCTCAAAGATCCGTTTTAATGTTGTCCACTCACCTATGCTTTGGTCTTACCAGTGGACTCTTTCCTTCTGGCTTTCCCACCAAAACCCTATATGCATTCCTCCTCTTCATCATTCATATCACATGTCCTGCCTGTCTCATCCTTCTTGACTTGAGCATTCTGATTATATTGGGTGAAGAGTACAAGTTATGAAGCCCCTCATTATGTAGTTTTTTCCAACTTTGTATCACATCAGCCACCCTCAGTCTGTGTTCCTCCCTTAACCTTTAATATACGGACTTTTAAATTGCCGGGAGCCCTCTGCGGCCAGAATTTAAATGGCCCTGATTTTTTAACTTTGCAGACTTTAAAAGAAATACAAATTTTTTGTTCTATGCAGCATAGAAATACGAACTAAAAACTAACTGAAAGACAATAAAATTGTCTACATATACATGAAAAAGCAATTTTTACGAATGAAAATTAACTGTGATTATTTTGCCATAAAATGCAAAATACATTCTTTATTAAATATGTTATGAAATTCCAGAGGACTTACCTGTATTTTTTTTTTTTAACCTTGAGACTTGGTGATATTGTAAATATAATCACACTATATACAATAATATTTTGTTCAGACTGTTTGTGAGTTTGAAATGCGTCACTTCCCAGTTTACGATACCTCACACTCTGGCGCGTGTGCCACTTCTCGAAGAAGTCCACAACGCACAGCACAACATCACACTTTTTGCAATAGAAAATTGTGCTCCTGCTTTTCTTATTTAGCGAAACACGTGACGTCTTTGTTTCCCTTTGGTTGGCCAGTGTTGTGAATGTTTCACCTCCAGTCGACTCATTTGGGCCCCAGATAACCTTGGCCTTCCCCGA